TCTCTCTCTCTTTCTTTTTTTCTGTCTTTCTCTCTCTCTCTCTCTCCCTTTTTCCTGGTTTTTGAGGGCTAAGACCGGACTACCTTCTAAAATCGCTTAAGCCTCCGTTTTGAGTCGATTAATCGATGAAACCTGCCTCTGTTTACATTGGAATAAAGCTAGTCCTTCTGAAGGCGAGGGAAGTGTTTTTTTGAACCCTGGATAATCGGAGCCAAAGAGACGGTTCTGGTTGTTTGTTTTATTTTTACAAGCAACATTTCAGTTCCGGAGGAGGGGAGGACCGGATTTTGGACAGGGGGAGGAGAGGAAGGATGTGCGGGGTTGCACAGGCATATGGGGTGGGGCTGTGGCTGATGGGTTGCGGTCCCTTGATGGGAGAAAATGGGGCTGAAGGAAGAGGTAGCGGAACCTGCTGAGGTGGGGATGTCAAATTAAACCTTTTTCTAGAAATCTAACCCCCCAAATGCCATCAGACTGAAGCTGCATCTGCTCCAGAGTCCGATTTCCCAAACTGGCCAATGAGAGGCCCATCAGCGTTTCCCGGCAGCTACTCAGAGGTAGATTGCTCCTGATGCTGGAGGGTTTTTTGCTACTTATTTATTATCCCCCACTTTTTAAACTTTGACCCAAGTTTTGTTGCAAATACCTGACAAATCTTGCAGGTCTCTAAATGCCCCCCCCACCTCCCAGCCCCCTGGAAAGCATCAGAAGAATTTGGGCTGGGGGAGAGACGGCAACCCGTCTAACCGGTCAGGCTGAATTCCGGAGCTGCCTTCCTTTGCGACTTCGGCAGGCAGCTGCGCTGGAAGGGAAAAGCGGGAGGGTTTTTTTCCCCCCAAGGTAGACTGCCTCTGGGTGGGGAGGGTCCTCGCAGCCGGCAGCGTGTCTCACAGATCTTCCGCCTTGCACAAGCCAAGCAAAGCCGCCTGGTGTTCGTCGGGGGTTTCCGCCTGGGGAAGGAAGTGGGGGGGGGGGCAAGGAGGAGAGTTTGGGGTAAACCCGTCTGGAAATAAAGGGGGTCGGTCCAGGAAAGGGGTGCTTAATTCCCACTAGGAGTGGGGGGGGGGCGATTTTCTGCCTGCCTGTATCTTCCGGATACTTTTGCAGTGAAGATACTTCTGCTGGCCCCCAAATTCTAACTTGCAGATAGACTGCTCCAAAAGATGGAGGCTCAGTTCCTATATAGGGAATGGACAAGGCCGCATAAAATTGGGCTGCTCGACCGAGAAGCTTTGAGGCCAGCCTACCTCGTAAGAACGTCCTGAGGATAAATTGGAGGGTATCCTGGCTGGCTGGGTGGGGTGGGGGTCCTTCCCACAGTCCTTGGGGGCCACTTGGGGTCTGTAACGTGCCCTTGAACACCCCCCCCCCACAATGCTACCTGGGGTTTTACCTTAATGAAGGAGTAGAGGGAGATCCCGTAGCGCCTCTTGAACTCAATGCGGATGCTCAGGAGGTCCGTCTCGCTGCGGGAGACCATGATTCGAACGGCTGTCCGGGGGTCGCGTCCTGCTTCCTGGGAGGAGATGACAAAATCGCCTTTGGAAAGTTGTAAGCCACCCAGCGTGGCTTTGAAACGAGACCAGGTGGCAAATAAATGTCATTGAAAAAAATCATTGAAAAAGCTGGAAAGCTGTGCAAAGCAGGACTTGAACTCGCTTCTTTGCCCCACACCCTGATGGACGGTGCACGTTTAACACTCTCCTTCCATTGTTCCCAAGCCAGATTGCAAAAAAGGACTACAGAGTCCATCTCTGCTCTTCTCGTTCACTTGAGAAGGCGGCTTATGGGCTTTTATTTGGGGAAGGGTCCTTGCGGTGGGAGGGTGGATGGCCGGTCAGCGGGGGCTCAATTCACCCAGAGGAGACCCTCATACACCCTCTGGAACAGCTCAGCTGGTCCCTTGTGCGAATCACGACCCAGAAGCAGAACACCAAGGATGGGCACACCTGGGGGCTTCGGGGTAGCCCTGATGGGGCTAATGGGGGTGGGATTTGGGAAGGGGTGGGCACCCAAAGGGGAGACCCTCACCTTAATGGCCGAGTGGAGCTTGGTGGCAAAATACAGCGGTGTGTTTCTCAGGAGGGAAACTGCGAGAGATTTTACAAAAATAATAATAATTACAATTATTTTCCCCCTGTTGTTCTGTTCCCTTCTTATTTCTGGTCTGAAACGCTGCAAGGAAGGGAGCTGCACAAGTTGGATTTCTGCCTGACAAAGCACTCGCCGATAGAGAGGGGAAGGCAGGCCGGCAAAGCCAAACAGATCCGGTTTGAAACTGGCTTATCAGCTTGCAAACTTCCCAAGCCCAATTTATGCTAATTGTTCCCTGCTTAGCTAGTTTGAGAGGAGGAGGAGGAGGAGGAGGAGGAGGAAGAAACGGATTTAACTGTCAAGAGATCAAGTCCCATAAAAGCCGTGCTGAAATAGCATCAAGAGGGCTAGCAACTTGGATTTTTAGAAGCAATGGAAACGAAAGCTCTTGGATCTTATTCCGGGTATTCTCAGCCCAGGCTGTGCGAAACAAGACACAACTGAGGTTGAGAGGGCTCTTGGGCATGTACAGAAAGCACCGCTGGAACTATCCTCATCTTCCCCCCCCTCCCCAATTTAACCCAGACTAAAAAGGGGGCCTCCCAAACACCCTGCATTTGGGCTGCACCTACCCAGCGTTAAGCCTGCTTCCCGGAAGTTTCCCCGGAAATGTTTCTCCATGGTTTCCTCAACTGAGATTCCGGTCGTCTCTTGGTACCAGCTGAACACTGGAAGAACGTCAAGGGGGAAAAAAGGGGGGGGGGGTGTTAAAATGAAATTATTGGGGGAAGGCTGCCCCCTTTGTGCCCTGGAATTGCCAGGTTTTCTTTTGGCTTTGGAACAGGGACTCTGCCAGGGTTGCAGTGGGAAGCCTCCCCGGCCCGGTCTGGCCCGAAAAATTAGCACGTTTGGGGATGCCAGCGTGGTGAAACACGACCGACCGCCTGGCACGGGGTTGTCCTTGCCTCTCCTCAAATGTTCGGGGCTGCGTTGAGCCAGGATCCGGACCCACTCGCTCCCCTCCAGGTGTCCAGCGTCCCCACCGGTGGCTGCATCAGCCAGGGCCTGTGGGAGGGAAGCCCAGGTGTTTGGGGGAGGCTGGAAATGGGGCACCCAGAGGGACCCCAGTTGCTGGCCCTCCCCACCCCGGCGTGGAGGGGTCCCCCAAAGGGAGGCACCCCGAAGTCCCCATCTCACCTTTGAATCTTGCCGTATCAAGACGTAATCGATCATCCCCGAATAGCGTTCCCGCTGGCCCTGCGGAGAAGGACGGCGTGAAAAAGTTCAGAGACTTCGCCGCGAAACAGACATTCTTTTCCTAAACAGTGCCAGGTGCGGATTGGGCCAAACAGTTTGGACTTTAAAAGGATAAGATGTAGAGAGCGTTGAATTTTAGGAAAGCGCCCCACCTCTCTGGGGTTCTTGCATTGCATTGCATTGATTTCATAGTTTTGTAAGTGTTACTTATGTTAGGGTTAGGGTTGGTATGTTATGTCAATTTTACGTTACACTTTTATAAATGATATGACGTGATATATATTTATTATGTGATATTTATTATATTACTTTCATTTATTTCATTTTATACTGTTATAAGTTATATGACATTGCAGTATGTTATATTTTATATTTTATTCATTTTATTTTAGTTTAATTTTATTTATTACCTTGATGAGGGCGAGAAGAAGGTCTCTAAAACCACCGGTGGTGCCACAAGCGATGTCCTTTTCCAAGTCTGATTTGAAATCTGTACAGGGGAAAGAAGGGAGAAGGATGGAGTTTTAGCCCTCCACACCTGAGCAAGGTGTGCTTCCCTTCCTGAGAAAATGCTCCGAGATAGACTGCTCTTGCCCAAGGGAGCTCCGCAGTAAGCTCAGGAAAGAGACGTTCTTGAGTGTCTCAAAGAATTTAGGTGTTGTGTATGATTGACAGAGTGGTCCTTTCTGAAAGTCTAGGGCAGGCATTAATTACGTTAGTCTACATCAGGGATGTCCAACTTTGGCCACTTTAAGACGTGTGGACTTCAACTCCCAGAATTCCCCAGGCAGCCCAGCTGGCTGTGCTGGGAGTTGAAGTCCACACGTCTTAAAATAGCCAAAGTTGGACACCCCTGGTCTATGTGAATGCTCAACAAAATAAAAAAAAACTGTAAAAGTCAAAGCTCACAGTTGTATCATGTTGCGGGGAGTTCCGCAGGCATGAAAAGGATCTTTCCTTGGTTTTTCAAGTTCATCAGGCAACTTCCTTTCCCAGCAACTCCCCTCTCTCATTTCTCTACCTTTTAAAGAACAAACAGGTATGTTTCATTTATTTTTTTTACCCTGTTTATAATAAGCCAGGATGTCTTGAAGCTGTTTTGCCGTTCGAGTAGAGATGATTTCAATCAGGGTTTCCACCTCCAGACCCTGGAAAGGAAATGTGACCCAGGTTAGGAAAGGACAATTGACGACTTTGCAAGGTGTGGGCCTGTGTTTGTCCCTGTCCATTTTGCAGGCTTTTTAGTTGGGTTGGATTAATCCTCCGCTAATCTTCCTTGGTCTGATTACAACGCTCCTCTCAAGTGTGGTTGTGTCTTCACACATTCCTGTATTTATTAATTAAATCATTACATTAAATTATGAAATGAAATTACTATGCATGGGAAGCGCCCTTAAAAATAGCTGGGAATTCCTCCCCAACCCTTTTTAAAATGGAGAAAACACTTTTTAAAATTGGTTGTTCATGAAAGTTTGTTGGGGGGGTGGGGGAGAGGAGAGACTTCCAAGACCTGGATCCCCAATCAATTCACCCCACGCACATTTTAAAACCAGGTGTATAATCTGATCCACATTGTGTTAAGAATGGGGGGGGTTGTTCCTTGGCAGAAATGGGGTGCTTGTCTTTGGAAGGGGCTACCTGCAATCCCGCCTGGATCTCCAGGGCATCGTACTGAGCCGCTGGACAGAGCAAAGCCCTGATAATGATCTGAAACTGGCTGGGGAAGACGGCCTCCAGAGTTTTCAGCAGCCCCTAAAAAGAGAGAGAAGACAAAGAGACCCCATTCCCAATGGAGCATATATATATAAATATAAATATATATATGTTTTCTTAAGTTTTTGTGGGTACTTACATGTATGGTATTCAGCTTTGTTCGGGTATTTTCCCACGTCATTATATATATATATGTGTGTGTGTGTGTGTGTGTGTGTGTGTGTGAGTTTCTCTCTATATATATTTATTTGCTTTAGTGTGGAACCCATAGCTTGCTGGGCCTGCCCTAAAAGCAGTCTTCAAGGGCTGGCCCCTGCAGTAGCACATTGCAGGAGTCAGAGTGAGCTCTTTGCCCCTTTTTCCTTTCCAGGAAGGGCCACGAATTCTACCCCCCCCCCCCCCCCCCCCCCCCCCCCAAAACCACCCCCCCCTGGCCTAACCTGTTGGGTGAATTCGAGGAAGGCTTCCGCAATTTGCTGCCGGTGCTCGCTGCTCCGGCTGGTCAGCAGGTCAAGGAGGACTCCGCAGTCAACCCCTTTGGGGAGACCCGGCCCCCCCAGTTTCAGCCGAGGCCTCCAAAGCAAGAGTTTGCAGACTCTGCTCCTGCCCCTCGAGTTAGCTGGGCTCCCGGAAGCGTCAAAATCTGCACGTGCAATGGGTCTCATTATCATAACGATTTTCTCACTGCTTCGGCTGGGGTTAAATTTTATGCCTCCCGTCACCCTCATTTCTCTGGACAGGTGGCCTCCAACCGCCCACGTTCTTTTTTAGGATGTCCTTATCTAGGTGTTTTTGTTGCATCGGATGGGGTGGTTGAATTGTGCCCTGGGTTCAAAAGCCTGTGGTGACTCCAACTCCCACCCTGCCAGGCGATCGTGAGAGGGAAGGGAAAAGGGGCAGCAGATTTACCTTCGCCAGTGATGGCCTCAAAGAAAGTCTGGGCATCTTTAGCGGCATCAAAATTCAGGTGAGGTCGAATCGTTCCCAGGGTGCCCCACGTGGCCGTCTAGGGCAGAAAGGAGACAGCAGTTAGGACCCCCCCACGAGGTTGAAATTCTGCAAACCTCCCGACAGCCAACGTTGGAGTTTGTTTACTAGTTAGTTTATTGCCATTACGCCTCGTACAATGAAATTAAATGCCATTTTCAGGGTACATTATAACTGTAGAAATAAAACACAATCACACCTCCTTCGCATTCTGTACAATTGCATTGAAAATCCCTGACGCTGCATGAATATTGCACTATATTGCACTTGGCAACCGGTGGACTTCATCTCCCAGAATTCTCCAGCCAGCATAGCTGGAGAATTCTGGGAGTTGAAGTCCACCAGTCTTAAAAGTGGCCAAATTTGGAGACCTCCGCACTGTACAGTAGAATTCAACAGAGTTTACCACAATCTCTCCACTGTTTTCATTTGGCTGGTGGGGAGGAAGATTCCTTCGGCTGCAAAGAGCAAAATCTGGATGACCAGCTGAGCCAAGCCTCCACTAGCCAAGGCAGTCTACCTGAGGGACCTTTCCATTCCCTCCTCCTTAGGGCAGGGGTCTCCAACCTTGGCAACTTTAAGACTTGTGGACTTCAACTCCCAGAGTTCCTCAGCCAGACCCCTGCCTTAGGGGACAGCACCTTGCGAAGGCCAGCGGCCTCAAAATACTCTGCGGTTGCTTTCTAGAAAAGAAGTTAAGACTCACCTTTTCTGCCAGCGGCAACTGCTCCAAAATTTCATCCGCCATGGGTTGCTGCTCCAGCCAGTTCCTTGCACACTTGCCAAGGAAAAGCCTTGGAGGGTGGGTGGGTGGGTGGAGCCCCACTTAGGCAGCCCCCTCCCCCCAGCAAGTAATCTCTGGCTGCTGCAGAGAAGCGAATTTCCAAGGGCAGAAACCCCCTGCAAGGAGCTTCCGGTTCAAGCTAAAATAGGGGGGGGGGGGGGGGGAATACAGGTGAGGAGTTACCCTCTAGGAAATGCTCCCAGGGCAGCAGCCGAGGGGTTCTGAATTTGAGGAAGGGGAGTGGGGAGAGGGGTGTTCAAGAGGAACTGGAAAGGAGGGAAAAGAAATCCCGGTTTTAGGCAGAAACACACCGGCTGAATTTCTCGAAAGGAGAAGCTGGACAAGGATTTCGAGAAACGCACCTGGAGCTCCTCCGAGTCTCAGGGTTGCTTGAAATCGCCCCCCCCACCCCAAGAAGCCTCTTCTGACCCCCGGCCTGACCTCCCACCCCCCACACACACACTTCCCCTCCTCCCCAAGAGCAAAAGAGCCCGCCTGGCTCCAAAGCCCCCCTCCCCAAAAGGGATCGCTGTAGCCGGGCGCTCCGCGGAAGGAGCCGCGCGCAAAAGTGGCTTCTTCTTCTTCTTCTTCTTCTTCTTCTTCTTCTTCTTCTTCTTCTTCTTCTTCTTCTTCTTCTTCTTCTTCTTCTTCTTCTTCTTCTTCTTCTTCTTCTTCTTCTTCTTCTCCTTCTCCTTCTCCTTCTCCTCCTTCTTCTCCTCCTCCTTCTTCCTCCTCCTCCTCCTCCTCAGCGGGTCCCGCGCGGTCCCCAAAGGCGGAGGAGCGGGGGGTGGGTGGGGGGTGGCAGCGGCTCTGGCTCTCCCCAGGGCGGCTGGGCAGCCAACCAGCGCCGAGAGCCTCGGAAAAACCAGTCTGGCCTGTCGCTTCTCCAGCCGGGCTGCCGCGTGTCGCCAGTTCGGCGGGTTCTTCGCCCGGCTGGAGCGCACCTGCCGCCGTGGGCAGTCCGGGAAAACCCGGGCAGCCCCGCGGGGGGGACGCCGCCGCCCGGGAGGGGAGAAGCCCCACCGGACCTCAGAGACACTCGAGTCAGGCTGGGGGGTCGCCAGAGGCGCTCTTCTTCTTCTTCTTCTTCTTCTTCTTCTTCTTCTTCTTCTTCTTCTCCCAAAGACCCGGCTAGGAGACCCCCTGAAATCACCTCTTGGGACGCGCTTCTTCTTCTCTTCCGAGCCTCTTTGGCTGGACTGGAACTCAGCGCCTTTGGGCATTTTCACTCCCCTGGAAAGACTTTTCAAGCCCGGGGGGAGTGTGGGACCCGCTGGGGCGAAGGGAAGAGAAGGGAAGAGGGGCATCCGGCGAAGGAAGGGGCCCCTTGGAGACCTGACTTCGTTCCAAGCCTTTCTGGAAGATCGCCTGTCCGGCAACGGAGGACGCCCGCCAGACAACCGCCTTTCCCACGTGCTCAGCCTCCCGAGCGCCGTCCGAATGCGAGGCAGCCAGAGAACTCGCGGGGACCAGCCGGGGGTGAAGTTTCCCGATTCTTCGGGGGGCTCTTCGCGTGCAAAATCGAAGCTCAGCCCCGCAGCTTCGGAGAGTCTCGCTGCGCAGGATGAGTGGGTTTCCCTGCGCAAAAGGCTGCCCGGGAGACAGAAATTCCCTTTTTGTGTGTGACGGAGACTTCCCGGGATGAAAGGTGGCTTTCTTGATTGGGTAGAAACTCCTGCTTGGTTTTCCTTCCTTGGGAGGGTTGGGGAGAAATCGTCTGCGTTGGGGGGGGGGTCAAATCTTCCTTCGCAGCCAGTTTCTGAACAATTGAAACCCACTTTTGCCGCGGACAGTCAAAAGGAGGGGAAAAAAGAGCGAGGAAGCTGTGCTGTGACGACGTTTCCACTAAGGGGCGCTGTGGACTTCCCTTCTGAGGGCGCGGGGTCCGGCTGAGCCACCAGAGGGCAGCACCTCCCTGCCCTTCATCCAGGTAGCCGGTCTGTCTCCACTTGGAGGGCTCTTCCTAGATGGGAAAGCCAAGAATCAATGCAGGTTTTTTTTCTTTTAGGAAGTGTTTTGAAAGAGACCAAAGCTGGAGGGAGGAAGGCTTAATTCAGGGACTCCTTCAGCAGAGCCTCCTGTCCAGGAGCAGTCTTCCTTGGGGATGACTAACCAAGAAAGAACAGCCCCTGCCCGTGGGCCCAGTTGGGCAGGAATACCCCGCTTGCTCCCCTTTCTTGTCAACTCCTCCAGGAAAATCAAGGAAATCCGAAAGCTCACTTGGAGGAAAATCTTGGCCGGCCTCTGACGTGGCCCGGTGGCATTTCCACCTGGAATCCCTGCCCTCCACCAGCAAAAACGGGGTGGCAATTGGGGTATGAAAAGAGAAGGCGGCTGCACCCTGCAAATCTCAGCGTGTTCAGCCTTTTATTTATGTGCTGCAGATCCCTCTGGATAGAAAATTATGCCCAGAGGACTTCCGTAAGGAAGCAAAACAGCTGCTTTCTTTTTTTCCATTCAACCATTAAATTTTCCTCTTCCTCCCCTGGATTCTCAACCTGCTTTCTCTGTTGTTGCTACAAGAATTGTTCAGATTCTTCCTTTAGGGAATTCCTGGGGAAATTTACCCCGGAAGGATGAGTAAGGATTGGTCCCTTAGAAAAGTGCAGGGCGTGGCGTTTAATGGGTCAGCCTCTACCTATCTTTTATTGCCAACATGAGTGGAGTGTTTCCAAACACAACCACAGTAGTAATCAGGCTTTAATTAATGCAAGAAATCTGGAGACAGAATGACACTTGGCTGGGATTGGGATTAAACCTGTTTGTAATCTAGGTTAGTTTTGCGGGATCTAAAATCTGACAGTTTAACAAATTGTGAAATTATGGCCAGATTCCAGCCTTTATCTGTCTTTCCCAGCACCTTGATAATTATTGTGCTTTATTTTATGAAGATGCTGCTCTTCCAGACCGACTTATAAAAGAACCAGTCTTTTTAAATGTCCAAAGCACACTCCCATGAAAAAGAATGTCAAAAAATACAAGTGGGGTTTTTTTTATTTATAAAGTGCAGGGGCGGGGGGAGGTATTTACCTGCAAATAATTTTTTTATTATTATTAGTCTTTTAAAACTGTTTTCAAGATAATATAATTAGCCTCCAAGAAATTTCAGGCTTCCAAGTGTGGAAAAGGTTCAGGTTTGAAATAGGATGAATGAGCAGGAACCGGAAGGAAAATGTTCCTTATAATTGTATTTGAGGTCTTGGGGTCTGCAGCACTGAGCTGGTTCTTCCAACAAGAGAGTTTGAAAAACAGGGGAAAAGCAGCTTGGCTTTTTTTTTTTTTTCTTCAGTTTTTCCAGTGGAAAAATACACCCACCGCATCCCAAAGCTCATAAAACCAATAGTAAACCCTTTGTAAATAGAAAAGAAAGCTTGTAGTACGGATCCTACCAGGGAAAAAACCAACATATATTGTAAACTTTGGCTGCTAGGCCCCTTCCTCAGCCCAAACGGTTGGCACGGATGGGGCCCTTCGGCAAAAGGAAAGCGGGAGCGTGGGTGGAGGGGTGCGGCCCTTGCGAGGCGGGGCAGGAGCAGTGGAAGCCCCAGGTGAGCGCCCCTCGGCCCCTTTGGGGAGGGGGCTCCGTCCGCTCTCCCTCGGCCGCCTTCCGGAGGCGCAGGAAGCGGAGGGCGGAGGTTGCTTCGCTCCTGGCCAAGCAGCGGGATGGCTGGGGGGCTGGCTGGGTCTAGGGGGGGCGCCGGGAGGACTCCCGCCTCCCTCTGAGTTCAGCGCCCAGGCCGGGAGGGGAGGGAGGGGGGTCCCCACGCAAATGCGCCATAGACCCTTCGCCTGGAAGCCCTCCTTCCCTCCCTCCTCTTTCCTTCCTCCTCTTCTCCCTTCCCTCCTCTTTCCTTCCTCTTCTCCCTTCCCTCCTTCCCTCCCTCCTCTTTCCTTCCTCT